AACTTACTATTTAGCATCAATAAATCCCGTTTTCGACGGGCTTTCATCTGGTATAAAATTCATTACTTACCCTATTCGCAATTATAGCGTTACCCCCCTGGAAAAACATTTTTACGCACCCTGTACAACTCACATTTAACATAGAAAATTACAGGTAGAATAAATAAGAATAATTAAGCACTTTTTCATCGTTGCGTTGTTGTTGAGTTTCCCTTTTCTCTTTTGTCACTCTTGCTACTCTGAATTATTTATGAGCAGCTCATTTCAACTTTTGAGTCAACACTTTTTTTTTTTATCAACAATGAGTCAACACTTTTAGTCTGTATTTCATATATTTGGTTTCTATTTTCTTCCTCTCTTTAGTTACATACTCGTGTAATTATACAAAATAGTTAATTAAAAAAGTAATAAATATATAGGTGATCAAGAAAACTTGATTACATTGTCTTCAAACGTAAATCATTGTATTTTTTTTACCTGGAAATGAGATCATTCGAATTTAATGGTCTATATATCAAAATCAAGGTGACAGACGTATTATTACAATGACGTCGGAACGAACGATATAAGCACTGTGGTTGAACACATACAATCGTTGATACTGATTTTGTCTATTTAGACATGTATTAAGAATACTTTTGATTTGTGTTACACTTCATTTCTTTGATGCTTGACATATCAATTATAGAAGATTTGTTGAGTTCTTGTTTTACTTAGATGTGCTTAACCGTAATCATTCATCAATAGTTTCAATATTCCCTAGACACTTATTTTATCAGAGGGTAACTTTAGAATTGAATTGTTCTACTCTGTATTAGAATATGTGCGTGTGTGTGTGTTATAGAGAATGATTTGATAAGAATAACGTTTTGATTTATTTTTCTCTTTATGAAAAGAAGGAAAAAAAAGGGATTTTTCTTATTCTTTTGCCTTGATTTAACGAGAAATAAAAACAGGAAATACACGAAAAATTAAGAAAAAAATAGAAACCTAGTAAAACATTTAGATTGCTCTCTAATACTATTTTCCTTGTCATTGTTTTCTACTTATCTCATTTAACCGTGTTGTGAAGAGCTCAACGTCTCCCTACAATCGAATTGTATAGTGACTTTACGGATCAAAACCCAAAATGAAAAAAGAAAAAGTGAATTGATTTCAAATTATCTGAAGTATTTGCCGAAGCGGAACAAGTTTTCGTTTACGAAATTGAATGATGCTGAGTGCATGTGATTTTGCATCGACAAATGATTTTAGGAGCTTGTTTTCCCATAGCACAGATCAAGTACTGCTTCTTACGTTTGAGACAGTATGCTACGTAAGGTTTTTCTTCTGAATACTTTTCAATTTCACTCTTCTTCACGAGAATTGCCTCAAAGATTCCAGTATGACGATCACGATGAGCGTAAAAAGTTAGCTTTCTGAACTCTAAAATCTGTAAAACGTGGGTTTTTAGCGGCCGATTACATTTCCCTGCTTTTTCAGATTAGTAGAATTTGATCGAGCTCCACTAGATTCTCGTGAACACCGATGTTACGATTAGGGTGAGGGTTCTACATGATGTTTATATCAAACTCTTTGAGATGATAAAATTTTGTATATCTGGACGGGAAAAAACGGAAGATTTTTTTCTATTCATATAACATCTAGCAGAAAAAGATTATTTAGAAGGATTATTTTGTTTTGTCTATTTGATAGCTTCGTTCATGAATCGATCATAATTTCATTTCAAATTACATTCCATATTGTAGTAAAACTTCATGGTTGACTCAGACTATGACATCATAATGAAGGTAAATATATTATAGCTTACCTTTTTCAAAAGATACGTTTAGTGGATTATAATAGTCTTTATCAACGTCTGACTCATGATCAAATGATGGGCATAGACAGTTGATCATTATGAGGGACAATGACAACTCTCCTCATTATCAATCAGGACTCGATGTATCGTTGTTAATAGTTCAGAATGCGCGCTATTTTAAACATTTGTTGATTTACCCAATACGATTTGGTTAGCGTCGATATGAGCTATTTTCAACTTTGAATATGACTATAAAGATTTGACTACATGGATCATGATGCACAACGGCAACAGATTTATTCGTGCTGATGATAAAAAAGAAATTTAAAGTTGTAAAAAATATAACGCATCAGTCTTTATGAGCAGAGAGCCGTTAATTTTCATTCGGCGGACACTGATATTCGAGTTCAATAAATCGAACAAACCTTCTTGTATAACTAATTGCGGACTATTTATGTTCAGTATTTATATTCTGAATCCATCTCATTTGATTGGTGACAGTGCATACAGATCAGGACAATTGAAAGAACATTAATTCTTGAAATGATAATCATTCATCTATTTATTTCGAATAATTAGATAGTGCATGAGGTTTCTGCTGTGAAAAAAAATGAGGTCTAATTATTGGTAAACAATAAAGAACAGAATTAGAGAGATACGACGTTATATTTCATACTAAAACTATTGAATTAATTAGAAAAAAAATCATCTATGTGTATACTTTGGGTTCATGTCAACTTTGGGTTTACGATGTAGAATAACGTCGACATAAAGAAAAAGAGATAAAATGCTAAAACGCACTGTTTTGATCTAATGTTTTCTAATCTACACACGTACTAATATTGTCTAATAGATGTATACACAACCAGAGTTGTACCGATCCTGTTAAAAGATCTATTCATTTCCTGACACGATCCTAGACATACCCTGTCAAAATTGTACTAGGATTTCGTTTAGGTTTCAACAAAATCTTATAGAATCCTAATAAAATCAGGGATACCTGAGAGTCCGCACATCTACGACTAAAATTTTGTTATAATCTTAAACAAATCCAAGCGAAATCCTAGTACGATCTCAGCATCTAAGTTGTTACTGACAACTTATTAAGATTCTAAACAGATCATAATAGGATCCTGGTAGGAAACCGACAGGATTTTATCTAAGAGAAGGTTCAATTTTTAGATGAAGATAAAAAAATTTCTTTCAAAGCCAGTGTAGACTTTAAAGTATTTTCTTCAGATGCTTTCATTGGTGTAAAAACATTCGACACTTCTGTTTTGGCGTTATGTATTTCTTGGTCTACAACGATATGATAAACACGATGGTAATATAGAAGTATATGGACAGTCTTTGTAATTGAAAGCTATTGTTGCGCGGCCAAATTTTAGCTGGTTTCATTACAGATGATTCATTCTTAGCAGATTCACTAAAATATATACAAGTGAGAAATATTGTTAAGAATTCAAAATTTCAAATTAATATATATGAACAATTACCTTGAGGTTATCGTTTCTACTGTAGTCACCGATTTAATAATTGGATTTTTTTCAAATATTTCATCTATTTGGTTGATATAATTTTCTGCAAGACAGTTATTCGTATTACATTTATGGATGCGTGTTGGTGAATGTGTTGTTCCTTCAATAGTTTCAATAATGATAACGGATTGATTACGTTTGTATGACGGTTCACAAAATGAGTCTGATGGATACTTTTTATACAATGGTATATGATAATGAATGACACATAAAGTATGATTGTAACATTGACTATTATCACGACAAGTTAAACTATTTGTTGTTGAACTAAATTCATCATCGAACAGTAACGAGGCTAATTCGTCTTCTAGAATATCAGTTTTCATAAGAATATACTCATCATATACTTTTTCTACATATTCTTTATCACACTGAGCGTTTTTCTTGCACGTATAAATGAGACGAATTTTGGTCATTTTATTATCACGAGTCAAATCCATCGTGGTCGTTTTTATCATATTATATTGATTATTCGTGTCCGCAGCATTACTATTCGATTGGCCTAAAAAAATTTCATGAATATTTATCTTACATTAATAGTTTAACTCGATAATCGACATTCTAGATGATAATAATCAATTTACTATTGATGAAAACATCTACTACTCACAGACCCGTCCATCAACAAACTGATTCAAAATGAGTAGACGATGTATCCACTCTAATCAAACTTCTTGGTAATTCATGAATCACCGTTATGAGTTTTACACTATTGTTTATATAGAAGAGCGCAAATTCTCATACCTTGAATATAAAGATGTATGGATAGGACAAAGCCTCGTTCCAGTTCTAAATGTAGTTTTATTATTGCTTCATGCGGTTGATCCATGAAAAAACAATAACAATTTTTTCGTCCATGATACCCAAAACTATGCATACAGCGTCTAATGCTGTCTTTCTAATTTGCCATTTGATCTAACTAATTCATTCGAGTTCAAATGATAATAAATAGTGAAGAATAGAGATAAAAATTACGGAACGTTTATTTGTTTACTTAGTTTTAACGCAAGATGTTTGCACCGATGCCAGAAAAAGTAGGAAAAACTAGAGTTTTTCTGTCTAAATATACATAGGAAACAGCTTTGTTCTTTTTCTCGAAGTTTATTCGGCAAAAACTATCTCACTCTCTCCAAATCCTGGCCCAGCGAAATCGAAACCTGGACTATCCCTTGGAATTTTATTTTTCTCTTGGATATAGTTGTCGGTGGGAGAGTGGATGGCTGTGATTGTCATATGACAAAAGAAAATTTTCATCAATAATCTTCAGAATTTCTGTTCACCAGTTTTAGACTTCTTGATGATTTATTTAAGATCTTGGTTGTAAGAGATTTCATTAGAATGATAAAAAAAGTTTCAACAAAGTTCAGAATATTGTTAAACAAAGCAAAGGTAAACTAGTTAAAATCAAATATTTATATAATCAATATTTATATGATATTTCTATAAATTTGAAATAGTATTGAAACATACCTGTATAATACTTTCCAAAAACAATTTGAACTTGTCGTTCTTTATAATTGAATATCATTTCAGCATAACAATTTTCACTATGAATATGTTCCGTACACTTATTATCTAATGATAATTGTTCATCAAATGACTGAGAGATTGTACAATTAGCATAACACCGAATTGAATCATTTAAATTATTGGCTGTTGAATACATCAAACAGATAATTAGGGTTACTATAGATAAAGTCATCATGTTATATTTTATTCAAGAGCAAAAAAAAACCACAACTCTAAACTAGATGAAATAGAGTACTCGTAATAGAAGAATATTTATTTCTAGTTCTGTTAACTTGTATCGTCGATGGTTTTTTCTTCTTAATCTGTATAGATAAATATTTTTTTATTTAATAATGGAAATTAGTTTTATCTCTTTTTTTTTCTTCTCTCTCTTGCATCGTTTAAAAATTAAATCTATAGTACTAGAAATATTTACACACAAGTCCTAATAAAAAAATCTTGTGGTAAGTATAAACTATAGTCTATTTTTTTTTTTACTATTCTCTTCTTTTTTTTTTTCTTCTCGCGTATATATATATATTTTTACTTTCAGTCAAATCATATAATAAAAATAGTCTCTGCTATTAATCAAAAATACCAAATTAATATTCATAGAATTTATCAGAATCTATTAATAATTGATAATATTGTTTTTAGAAATGAGATAGTTCATTATCTGTAGACTACATTAACAAGTTCAAGGACATGATCATCAAGATTGTCAACTAGTTCTTTCATATAGTTTGAAATATTTTTCATGACAATAGCAATTGAAAAACAAACTCAGCAAATCTTTCACAAAATATCTTGCTATTTTTACCTAGAATAACTGTTATATCAATTCTATAGTAAAGAACTAATTTAAAAAGCTCACTTTTTCATCAAAAAAACAAAAAAAAAATTACATTGTACAAACGATTAAAACTGACAATTCTAGATAAATTTTCCTAAAATATTAAGTTAATCATTATTTATAGAGGTCGCAAGGATCTATACAGAACTATTTGAAAGATATGTTCTTGGCATAGTAGAGTTTGGTTTGGAAAGCTGATGTTAACTAAATTTAGACATCTGGACATAAACATTTTTTCAACAACTTTTTAGTTTCGTCTTCATTCTCCATTTTGATATGCGCTTAAAGTAAGAGCGGTTTTTTGCACAATAACGAGATCGGATTCTCGGAATCCGATTCTATCGGAAAAATATTTTTCTATACCGTGTGTACTATGTCTCTCACAGAATATAACTCTTCAATATAACATTTAATACCAATTCTTAATACAAATTCATTAGCAATTCGACTGGTTTTTTATGTATCTTCTAAAGATATGAAGAAAATACTATTACAGCTAAATACTAGCACATCAATCAATCGCACGAAGTGTTAATGCTCGCTTAATAAGAGAAGTAGGAACTATTTATCTCTCTCTGAGAATGTAGCTAGCATACGTAGAGATTCCTTGATTCGTGTGACCTATCCTAGTTGTTTGAAGACATTACTGCTTTATTTAAAGATGAAGATCACATGAACCCCAACAACTATCGTCTAATAACTCTGCTGCCAGTCTTGTCCAAAGTGCTTGGAAAAGTTGTTTTTAAGAAATTGTATCAAAATTGAAATGATCATATATTACTATTCCCTTTTCAGTCAGGTTCAGGAAACAACACTCAACAGTACATCAGTTAGTTGAGTTAGTGCATTCTAATTATGAGAGTTGTAAAGAAAATAAAGATAATCAAGTCGTGTTTTCCACTTCAAAAAGGCTTTCGAAAGAGGTATGGCATCGGATTTTATTGTACAAATTGAGGGAAAAAAGCACCTCAATTAAATTAGTGTATTTGTTCGAATATTATTTACATAATCAAAAAATCATAACACTAGCAGGAGGAAAACAGTCTGAGCCTATAGCTTTTATCTGGGGTATACTATAAGATAGTGTATTAGGTCGAAGATAAGGATGGCAAAAGCATGAATGCACCATTAAACAATGATTTAACTATTGTATACACATTGTCTCTGAAGTGGCTTTTGCCCTTAAATCTACAAAAATGTATCACAATGTGTTTTTCTGTAAATTCATCTTCAGATCCTCTTGTATTGTCGAATCATACGTTAGAACTTATTAAAGAACACAAGCACTTAGGCGTATTTCTTACCTCGTCATTATCCTCGAACTTCGTATGACATGTATTGTTTTTAAGTGTAATCCAATTCTAGAGATAATGACGAGATATAAACATGTTATTCAATACAAAGCGTCTACCGAACACTATAAAATAACAGTATTGTCATACCGTTGAAACATATCCACTTTGACAGAGATGTTTAAAAAATTTAACGAAACATTTCAAAATATATTCCGGTCGGTCGGTCGCTGTTCCTCTATTTCTTTATTCCTATATTCTTGGGTTCCTCTATTCCGAGACTATTCGTTCCGCTGTTACACAACACTTCATTTTATAATCATTTTTATATAGATGTATACAGGAACTTCATTTTCTTTTCTAATTGATTTGATTACTTCTTCAAAGACAATTAACCGCTATGTGTCAAAAGATTATTCTTTTATCAACTATCAAAAACACATATACTTTGTCTTTTACAGTTTATTCTATTTAGATACTATTTAGACTTTCCGATAAGTGAAAGTTTTCTGTTTTTCTGTTTAAAGAACAAAATAAGAAAAGAACAAATTTTATATTTTCATCAAATGTTCAGCTTTTATATATTCAAGGAGGAGAATGCTTACTATAAATTTACTTTCTGATATACCAACTTCGCGAACTAAAATTACATTAATTAGAGAAGACCCATTTCCATATTTTATACTAGTTTAAAGTACAGGAGTTGTACATGATAGTGATCTGTTTTTCAGAAAAGGAGCCCTTTTGGTTTTTGACATATATGACTGTGAATATTGCTTAGTACCGTCTAAAAAAGAAAGTTTTTGCAATGATAAGATAAACGGGAATAATGTTTCGAAATATAATTTAGTAGAAATATAACAACTATTTAGACATACATAGCGTGTACAGGATTTACTTCCCGATGATTAATTTTTATTTTAACTAGCTTTTTTCTTATAAAAAAGGAGAGATATATGTTTTTTTCGATACTTCCCGAACTTCATACACTTTTAATAAAAAGTGACTATACCTATATCCCAAACTCCGCACATAATTACACACATTTGAAATGTAAGTCACATTAACTCAAACATTATCAATCAACTCTTTTTTATCATCTTGAACGGACGTTTTTTGCGTTTTTCTTTTCTCTCTGTGAGTGTGTATATCAGTACACATATATGTTGTAGGCAAAACTTAAATTCAGGCAAATTTTAAATTTGTCGAGGCAAAACTCCAATTGGAGTTATGACTGAAGTTTTTCTAGGCAAAACTCCAATTTAAGTTTTGTCTGGTCATATTTTAAATTTGCCTGGGCAAAACTTAAATCTAAAATTTCTAAAATTATAGTTTGAGTTTTGCCTGAATATAATTAAACAAAATTAAATTTTGACATCAACTAAGAATATTGCTGACTCCAGTCAGGTGACAGTCTGCTATTCCGTGTTTCAAAGGGAGGAGAAGAGACTGATGTCATTTGGAGCGGTCCGGATATGGCGAGAAGTCATTTTCTAAAAACCAAGTACGAAGGAAAGTGATAGAACAACAAATAAACCTTATATTACATGTTTAATTTTCACTTTTGTTGAAATTCAAAGTCAAAGTGCAGTTTGTCTTTATTTTGTAGATATAAATGTCGTTCGTATGACTGAAAACATGCTTTTTTACTAGGAAAAGACTTTTTTCTTGTTTTTTTAGTTTATTGCAGCAGTTAACTTGACGACATGAATAAGTCATAGTTCATTGTACATAACAAGGACTATCAGTCTTTCTTATCAGGAGAGATGGTGTTGCATCATTTTGTTTTTTTGGTAGTTAACGTGACTAAAAACGTGATGGATAATAGTATATAAGAGAGAAAACATCGACTAAATTTCTTATATTAAAAATGTTTTCTTCAATTGAAAGTATTACTATCTCTTCTGCTATAACTACTGGCTCTACCGTTTCTCCAACAGATACCGCTGAAAAATGTTTCTAGGATGAATTAGAAAAACATCTCTGCTGTTTACAGCAAAAGTAACAGCAGAAATCAGTTATTAAAAAAGAAAGTTATGATAACATCCTTAAAGCATTATTATTCGAAAAAGGTAAGACTTTGGATTCTGTTTCTTCAAATTTTGTTTTTTGGGCTAGGAAAAAGTTTGTGTTGGTGAAATTTGCTGCAGTCGATCTTCTTTGCTGTTTGAAGACGAAAAAGCCTGTGTGTGTATGTGAATCGTTGTTCAACATTTTAAGTGAATCGCATGCGAGCGTATCGCATGGTGGGAGAGATAAAACGCTTGCTGACGTGAACTCCCATTATTCCTGGGTACCAAGGTTTGCTGTGGAAATATTTTTAAAACTTTGTGTTGCCTGTCAGGTACGTAAACCAGTTAAACAGCCCATAATATGATCGGGTGTAATGACAAAACTACAAATCGACTGGATTGACATGCGTACACGTCCAGATGCAATTTCAAGTGACGCAGTTTTCCAGTGGATTCTGAATTGTATCGATCATTTTTCAAAGTTTTCTTGGGCTTTTGCTTTAAAAAATAAATCAGCCGCTGAAGTAGCGAAATGTCTTCGAGATTTGTTTTATGTTTCCGATCCGCCACGTCCTCTTCATTCCGATAATGGTGGACAGTTTGTTGCAAATGTGATTGTTGAACTAAAAGTTTTGTTTCCATCAATGTGTTTCGTTCGAGGCAGGCCACGTCATCTGCAGCCACAAGGTTGTGTCGAAAGAGCAAATGGTGTATTGATAAGTGCGTTAGGAAAATGGATGTCTGATGAGAATTCGAGTCATTGGTCTGAAGGTCTTTTGCCTCCTGTTGTATATGGAATTAATACTCGAATGTCATCAACTACAAAGTGTACACCGTATGAAGTAAAGTCTGATCAAGAGTTTTGGAGAATCGTCAAAGACAATGACATACAGGGTGAAGAACAACTGCCAACGCCGATTGAAGATAGTCTTGATCAGACGAATCTTGGAGATAGCAACACAAATTCATCAGCTATTATCGAAAACGAGTCTTATGCATTGTATCCGGATAATCCAAAATTAGATGATACTACTTATGT